CCAAGGTATCTGTGAGTGAATTGTAGTTTTCATTTATTGAGTTTTCTTAGAGCATTGGCCTTTCCTATTTGGGGATAGATGGAATTCAATTGAGGAATCAATGCTTTTCTAAATGAAGACTTTGGAAAATTAATTATTCTGCCAGCTTCAGGTGTAGCTTCTGGGTATAGCTGGGAGGGTTTGGTCTGAGATGCTGAGTTGGGCCCCTCTCCTAGCATAAGGCAGCCTCCTCCCGATGAATGGTTCCTTCCTCCCGGGGCAAGGCCCTGAATTCCCTGTCTGCTGTGCCGTCTTGCAGTCACGGAGACCAGAGCCAAGAGGTCCGCTGACTCTGGAAGCTTCCAGACTGTGCTGTGAGGACAGGGTGGAAAGAGCTGCGGATGTGAGGTTCCGGAGGACAAGATCTGTGGTCAGGAAGGGGCCCAGAGAGACGAAGAAGGGACGAGGCCCTTACCTGGGGACAGGGCTTCTGTGTGGGGCATCAGTTCTAGAAGGAGCAACACAGCAGAAAGCCTCGGTCTCTAGGTCACAGGCGGCGCTGCAGAGTGTATGACGGAGACGGCGTGGCCCTGACTCGGGAGCAGGGAGAGAGGGCGGTGGGACAGATGGCAGCTGGGACCACATGTACGGTATGCGGGGACTGGACTGAGGCTCAGCTTCAGTGTCTTTCATCTGAGGTGTTCGGGACCAGAAATGTTTGGGATGTAGGACTTTTTTTTCCAGATGTGGAAACATCAGGGACCCAAGTCTAACGATGAAATTCATTTTCGTCGTGTTTGCGCCTCTCACACAGAGCCCCAGAGTACCTTCGTATATCATCGTTAGGGCCCTGTGGGTCGGGGCTCATCAGCTGAGGTCAGGTGTGGAGCTTTCCCCTGATAATATCACGTCAGTGCTCGGGAAGTTTCAGGCAGTGGAGCACCTGGGATTTCTGATCAGCCAGCCTCAAGAAAGGAGTCATTTATGGTCAGTGGGAAGCTGGGTGTGGTGACATATGCCCGTAATCCCATCACTTTGAGAAAGTGAGGCAGAAGAGCCACAGGTGCAAGCCTAGCTGGAGCAGCTTGGTGATTTAGTGCCGCCCCCAGGTGCGTGTGTGTGTGTGTGTGTGTGTGTGTGTGTGTAAAAGAATGGGCTATAAAGGGTTCAACACAGTTAGCTAATCATTGCAAAATTAAGTTAGATCTTATGTCACACCACCCACCAAGGTAAATTCCAGGTGGGTTAACATAAATATCTGTAGATATGTTAAGACAAGCAAGGAGAACATGGCTTTTTCTTCTTTTGTATTTAGTACAGGGCCTAAGTGGTCTACAGGGTCTCACTACGTAGATTGGACTTGTAGTGATCTGCCTGTGTTCCGCTTCCCAAGAGCTCGGATTACAGGTGCATACCACCATGCCCAGTCGCAATTGCAGGCTCAGTAGGCCCCGGGGGCAGGGCCCACAAGGCAGGCCAGGGATCGAACCCCAGCCACTGAGTCTGCCGAAGCAGGTGCTTTAAGCCACTGAGCTATTTGGCCGGCCCAAAGGAGAATGTGTTAATGCTATTGGTTTTCTTAAAGCAGACGTGGGGAGCAAAAACTAAAAAAAAAAAAAAAAAAAGAAGAAAGAAAGAAAGAAAAGAAAAGAAATCTGATAAATTTGGCTAGATCAACATAAAAATGTGACAAAAGCAACATTCTTTCTTAAAAATTATTTATTTATTTATTTGAGACAGAGTCTTGCTACACAGTTCACACTCCTAGTGATCCTACTGTCTCAGCCTCCCCAGCACTGGGGATTACAGGCATGCGCCACCACTCCTGGTTCTGAGCCTGGCATGGAATGCAGTACCCAGGATTGAACTCAGGTCCTTGCGCTTGCCGGGCAGGTGCTTAGCCCACTGAGCTATCTCCCCAGCCAAAAAAGCAGCATTATTCTTAATTTCCAAAGCTTGGAAGCAATCACGATGTCCTTTGGTTGGTGAAGGGTTAAAAAAATATGTACAACAACTATAGACCGTTCTGACACTGGATTGGTGGCCAGCGATAAAAGGACAGCAGCTCCCTGGCCATGGAGCAACATGAAAGACCCCGAAGTGCTCATTGCTTCTACAAAAAGCCACTCTGAAAGGGCTGTGTGCTTTATGATTCCAAGTGTGTGATACTTGGGGGAAGGCACAGTCTTCAGTAAATATTCAGTGGTTGCCACGCACTTGGGAGGAGTAGGGGGAGAGAGACAAATAGGGTCTTTCCATCACAAAATATTCCATTCTAAAGGCCATGGCACTGACAGCCGTGCCACCAGACGTTTGTCACAACCCATAGAATGTACAGTGTGGAGAATGAGCTTAGTGTAAAGTATAGATTATAACAGAATAGCTAGTCCACTGTAACAGGCATGCCGCAGTAATGCAAGGAGTGAAGAGCAGGCAACTGTGGGTGTGGGATGAGGGGTTTACAGGAACTACACTTTTCACTCATTTCTTCTCTAAACATAAAACTACTCTAAAAATATAAGGCTTATTTATTTAAAAAAACTGGTACACAGGGGAAAAGACAAGCTGTACACTATTCGCTGCTCTGTGTCCCAGACAGGATTAGTATCTAGTATACATAAAGAATCCCCATCGGGGTGATAAAGAAATAGAATTTTTAAAATATGCACAAAGAAAACGGACAAAAGGTATGGAAAGGCACTTCACAGAAGATGAAATAAAAATGACTAAGAAAAGAATGAAAAATGTCCAAGCTTGCTAGTAAAAAGGTAAATATAAAACAATGTTAGGGGGCTGGGGAGACAGCTCAGTGGCCAAAGTACCTGCCTGGCAAGTGCAGTTCCTGTGTTTGATCCCTGGTATAGAAAGAAAAAAGAAGAAGCAGAAATAAATAAATAAATAAATAAATAAATAAATAAAACAATTTTAGGCTGTCACTTTTTACCATGTAATTGGCAACATTCTTAGTGCTTTATAATATTATATACGGATAAGAATTGTCAGCTAGTACTTGAGGGAATGCCCACGAGACCCTGGCACCTGGCGCTGTCCCCCACTCTCCCCAGATAATTTCCTGATTCAAAAACTCCCCAGCCCTGAAGTGCTGCCTTCCTCCGAGGTCAGAGAGCAGTGACAATTGTTAGTAGGAGGTCACCCCAGCTGCAGACTCCATACCGCTTTCCAGTCTTGTCCTTGTGGCTTGAGGGAGGTGCGCAGAGCCGCTGGGGGTGCTGGCCACCCTCCTGAGGGTGTACTTTGCGCTTATGCTCTGCTTTTAGAGGCTGTGCCCCAGTACCTTGGCAGTAACCACGGGGGAAGAATTCACCCCACAGAAATCGGCAAATGGCATGCATTACGGCTCGGCCCCTTATCCTTTGTTTTAGTTCAGTTGTGACTGTCTTCTTGGCGCACTGAGGCATGGGATGTGCTCCCTAGGCTCAGTTCTGGGCTTGGGATGCCCTCTTTCTGATGTCTATCTTTCTTACCTCCTCCTTTCTCTCTCTTCTCATGTCTCTGCCTCGGGAAAGGGAGGAGAATGATGGGCCTTGTGGGAAGACAGAGATGCCTGCTGGGCTGACTGGGAAGAAGCCTGGTCCGGAGAATCTGCAGGGCCAGGCCTGTCCCAGTGCAGCCACCCACGCCCCGTGGCACCTTCCACTGACGTGGCCACTCTCAGGTTCCGTATTTGCCCCAGGATCACTGCAGACAGCCATGCGAGTGTGGCCGGGGCTCAGTCTCAGGCACACATGGACCATGAGACCAGTGGCTGCCTTGGCAGCGTGCAGCGAACAACTGGGACAGCAGTGCCCAGCCCTGATCCTCATACTTGTTTCGGAGGATTGTTATGAAGATTAAGAAATAACAATGAAGGAAAGAGAGTCTGATCAGATGCTTGGTACAAATTTGTACACCAGCATTCTTGTCGGCTTCCTTCCTTCCTCCTCTCAACTGCCCTCCTCCTCCTCCTCCTCCTCAGCAGTGTGGTGTCGCCCCTTCCTAGGGGTGAGTCCATGCAGCTGGGCACCCCGGTGGCACCCATGAGGGCTCTGATGCCACCACAGTCCACACCTGCGGCTTCCCCACAGAGGAGTGTGTCTGGTTCCTGTTAATCCCAGTGGCAGCTATAATTCCGGCCTACTCAGCTCAGACTTCAAGGCAGCGCCACCCTGGGTCATCGGTGACTGCCTCTACCCACCTCCATCCTGTACCTGCCTCCATCTTCCTCTTTGCTGGATAGAAGGGTTGGAGGCTCAGACAGGTACAATGCCCTCCCCAGAGCTGTACAGGAATAATGTGATGAAAGAGAATTCACCCTCAGATCCCCTGCGATCAAAGCCAGCCTGCTCCTGAGCCAAGAAAATCATATTAAAATCATTATATGTGCGGGGTGGAGGGAGTTTCACACCGTGGTATTTACTCCTGCTACAGTTGACAGTACCAGATAATTCTATTCCATTTCATTCTCTCTTTTTGCTTTAACGTGCTATCTGTGTTCAGAATCTATGGTGTTAATTTCATGACCCACTGGTCTAATGAGTCAAGACCTGCGGTTTGAAAAACACGCTAGGTTGTTTCCCTGGAATGACCTTCTGACACAAGTGTGAGCCAGCCATGGCTATTGGCTAAATCTGGCCCCTTGCCTGTTGTTGTAAATAAAGTTTTATTGCCATGCACAAACACTTACGTATTGCCTCTGGCTCCCTTCATCCTACCTTGACAGGGCTGCTGGGTGTAGCAGAGACCACACTTTCCGCGGGCTCTGGGATATTTTTCTTGCCTGGTCCTTCGAGATCTGTACTCTGATCTGATGGTGCCTCTTCTGCGTTTGCTTCTTTCGGGCTGCCCTCAGCCCTGCAGCCCCAACTCCAGCTCCTTGGCCAGCTGAGAAGCTGGCCCCTGGCCTGCCGTGTCCTGTCCCCCTAACTACACTTCTCCCGGGTCCCCAACAGGCAGGCAGGCGGGCGAGGGCCCTGGGGCATCGGTGGGCCCTCTTCTTGATGCCTTCACGTTCCCGCCTACAGGTCTCCTGGGGATGGTGGCCCACATGATGTACACGCAGGTGTTCCAGGTCACCGTGAGCCTCGGCCCTGAAGACTGGAGACCGCACTCCTGGGACTATGGGTGGTCCTTCTGGTAAGTGGCTGTCGCCCTCCAGGACGAGAGCACGTTCAGAGCCCCAAGGCCCCAAGGGGCACAGCAAGGGGACACTTGGGGACCCTGGAGCAGGGCTGGCAAAGCAGGCCCCGCAGACCCCGTCCGCTCCGCGCCTTGAGCTCAACAGGCATGACAGGCTTCACGTTTTCAAGCGCTGGCAAACAAATCCAGAGAAGGATAGGATTTTGTGCCAGGTGAAAGTGACATGAAATTCAAATTGCATCGTCCGTAGCAATAAATAAAGTTTTCTTGGAGTGCAGCCCTGCTCATTGTTTGTGTGTTATCTACAGCTGCTGTCACACAGTGGGGACAGAACTGAGCAGGTGTGACAAAGCGAACCCTGCTCTGCCAGGGGGAGAGGAAAGCTGGCCAGAAGAACCTAGTGAGGCCGAGGCGGTTCTGGGTGGCCTGAGGGGACAGTCAGCACCTGGAGCAGACACCGTGCACATGGGAGAGGCAGAAAGCCAGGGTGCTGCTGCGTGACCGGTGGGGTCCCCGCTCACCTGAACCAGGAGTGCTTCTTAGAGCGTATGACCAGCTCTGTGCTGGCCGGGCCAGCTCCTCCAGGTGCTGACTCTGCCCCCAGCCCAGCTTCCCTCCTGGCAGTAGGGAAACACCTCCTGAGGCTGCTGCTGGAGGCCCAGAGCCTCCCAGGGAGGGGGGAAGGGCTCCTCTGTTAGGTGTGGGTCCTTTCTCTCTCCTGCAGCCTTACTGCAGCTGGGGCAATGTCGGCTCCGCCCAGGCGGGCTGTGCTGTGGGGCTAGGAAGGGGTCAATAGTCTCAGCAGATGGAAGGGCTGGTAGGTGAGGAGGCCCAGGTCCTGCTTCAGGTGGAGCTGGATCCAGGTGCGGGCTGATTTCCCTGGGGGCTCAGCCGCTCTCTCTCCTTGCCTGCCTCTGTCCCCTCTGTGTTGGCTTCATTCTCAAGCTGTGCCTCCCCTAAAAGAGGGCATCGTAAGCAGCACTCAGGCCCGGAGCTCACAGAAGGAGTGAACTCAGCAGAGAGATGGGTTTCTTTCCAAAATGGCCAACAGAAGTTCTGGCTGTGATCCCTAAGCCAGCAATGCAGCCCTGGGGAGATAGGGCCATGCTCAGGGTCAGCCTGCGTCAGCAGGGCCAGGCCTTGGCAGGGGGAGGAGGAGAGGTCCCTGGTGGTGGCACATGGCTGCCAGCAGGTGAGAGAATGCATACTGGACAGACCTCAGCGACCAGCCATCCTCTGCACAGGCTGCGTGGGCCGGGGCCTGGTGAGGACAGCCCTTCTAGGAAAAAGCAGGGGCTGAGACAGCCTTGTCACACAGGGTGGTGACAAGTGACAAAGCCACACCCTGCACCCCGCTGCAGTGGGGTGGAGAGGAGCAACTTGCAGAGAGCTGCGGGGTCTCTGGAGGAATTCGGGGGGCCAACGGGGCTGAGGGCAGCGGGGTTGTGCAGACCCCTGGGCCTTCAGCAGGGGCTACATCTTCAGTCCCTTTCCTTTGATTTCTTATTTTGAGACGGAGTTGCTCAGTTCTCCAGGCTGAGCTCAAGCTTCCACTCCTCCTGCCTCAGCCTCCCGAAATGCTGGTGTGACAGGCATGTGCCACCATTGCTGGGGTGACAGGCGTGAGCCACCACGCCTGGCTCTGGCTCTTCTTACATCACTGCTACTAAGAGAATGCACAGCGCTCTTGCTCTACATAAGGAGACTCAGATGTTAGATCAAACAGCTGTAAGTGACAGAAATGTGACCCCCCCCACCCCCGCCACCTTCCCTTGGCTCGTAGTCCCAGGAGAACCTGCTGGTGGTGCCCACGGGCCTTTCTTTTCCAAGAATCAAGAGCCTCCAGCCCTGCAGCCTTGCTCCTTCTGACCCCCCTCCCCACCTTTGCCCCTGTGCAACTCCAAATTCTTACAGGTTCATGAAAGGCAGGGGCCCTGTGTGTGAACCCCGTAGCCCAATCCATCTCTCCCTGCCACTGAGGGCCTGAGAGATAAGTCTCGTCTTTCACCCCTGGCCTTTGGGGCCTCACAGGAGCTATACTATGCCTCCCTCTCTTATTTAATATGGGTACATCCGCTTGTGACAATCCTGGCCCCAGAGGGGACCAGCTCTGAAGGAAGATGGTCCTAGCCCTTGACTTCTGTCCCAACAGGAGGATGAGGCTGAGGGAGGGGTCTGCAAGGCTCCAGCCTCTGAGAAGGCATGTCGCAGGAAGTCAAAGGCCCTTGATGCAGAAGTCTGGTGGCCCATGTCTGGTAGAAGGCATAGAAGGTGACACTTCTGGGATCGGCTCTGGCCCTTGCCACCTGGGAGTGTGGCCAAGCCACTTAACCCTCCATGCCTCAGTACCCCCAGATGTGAAATGGGACAGTGCACTCTGACCTCAGGGACACTGACAAATGGTGTCCAGCTTGCTGCTGCATCAGCCCCAAGTCCAGTGGCTCAATGGAAAACTACTCGTCCTTACCTTAGAGTTGGGGGCTTGGCTAGGCTCAACCTGGGAGCTGCATGAAGCTCCAGTCCATGTCTTCTGGGGCTGGAGTCACTGGGAACATGCCCTGGGGGTACCCACAGTGGCTGCCCAGCAGGGAGGCTGGTCTCTGGGAAAGTGGCCAGGGAAGCGGGAGGGTGCTGAGGGATGAAGGAGGAGGGGGAGGTGGCCAGAGTTTGGTAGGAAGCTCCAACAGTGTCACTCTGCCACGGTCTGTTGGTCACAAGTGACAGGGCCAGGTTCAAGGGTAGGTGTGGGCCCAGGTAGAGGAGGATTGCTGGGCCATCTCTGGGGAGCGTGGGGTAGCACGGAAGGGTCTTGGCACAAAGCGTGTACCCCGTGATTGGCAGGTGCTCTGGACCTGTCCCCAAGGCATCCAAGCCTACAGCAAGTCGTGTTTTGCAGGGTTGCTGTAGGGTTATGTGAGACCAAGCCCCAGTGCCTAAAGGAAGTCTAAAGGATGACATGGCCTCGGGCCACGTTCATCCACTGCGGGCGTGTCACCCAGCTGCCCAAGAGGGGACCTCTCATGCTGGTCCTCTCCCTGGAGGCGCCACACTGCGCTCGCCCGCTGGCCAGCAGGCTCCTACAAAGGCCGGCAGCACTAGCTTCCCTGTGCCCGGCGCGGCGCAGAGCTCTGTACCAGTCCGAGGCTGCCTCCCCTTGCCACTGGCTCCAGGGTGGCATCACTGTGCCCACGTAAGAGATCAGGAAGCAGGTGCCTAGGGCCAACTCCACTGCCCAGAGCCGGTCATCCCCTTGGGCTGCGTGCTGCCTGCAACCCGGGCTGAAAAAGCCGGGGGACGTTTTGTCTGATCTGCCATAATGTTTTTAAATTTTGTATTTGTTTTCTGACATTTAAAAGGATAAAACTTTTACCTAACAACCCAGCTTTCTGCTTGGTCTGGGCGGGTGGAAGATCTGCCCTTGGCTGAGCAGCCAGGCCGGTGGGCACAGGCAGCCGAGTGACTGTGACCGCAGCTTCCGGTGTGTGTGTGTGCACCGGCTCACCCCAGTCCCCGCTGTGCCCTGCTGCCTGGCGCTGTGCACACTTTCCTCCCATGGGTCCCCTGCCTGACTCTCCTGGAAGGTGACCACAGTGGTTGTCCTGGTGATGTCAGAAGGGTGGAAAGCAAGTCCTAAACAGACACTGGCTGGCAATATCTTGTATCTAAATGCAAACAGAAAAATGGAAACCAGGTACCTTTCCCCCCAGGTGCATATAAAACTCTGTCCCAAAAGGTCACCCTGCAGATGGAGGGTAGTGAGATATCATGACGTTGAAGGTGACAGGAGCTAGAAGGCTGCTCGGGGAGTGGCTCTGCTGCTGTGACCTCAAAGAGCCTGGGATCCCAAGGCCACTGGGGGGCCTTTGCTGTGTCTGCTGCTGTCCCTGGCCAGAGGCTCTGCCACCAGCAGGGAGCTTGCTCTGTCTCTGTCCCCTGAGGCAGGTGGCTCTGGCCTCCTTTTCTCTATGACTGGAGCAAGGGAAGGGATGTGGCTGCCCAAGGTGGCCTGAGGAAAGGAGCGGGGCCCCGTTGACCCACAGCTCCCAGAGCCCTGAAGGCGGTGTGGTTGAACATTCTGACTGACTGTCTCTGGCAGTGCATGGTGTCCCTGTGGCCTGCAGCAGCCGTGGTGGCCTCCCTCGTGATCAGCCAGTCTTCCCACAACCTGACAGTGGTCTCTGACTGTCCCAGCATTCCTCTGCCCCTGCCTCTGCAGGCCCCCCGAGGGCAGAGTGGGTTGACAGCCCTTCCACTGCCCCATCTTCTCCCCTGCTCCCCAGTGTCCACTCTGCTTTTGGCTCTGAGAACCAGGCCAGCCACCCACACATCTCGGGGCAGCAGCTCAGAATCCCATGACGCAAAGAAGAGCAGGTGCTGCAACTCCAGAGCTTTAAAACTCTGCCTCTGTGGGAACCCAGGGGCTGGGGGATGAGAGGGAAGGAGGGAAAGACTCAGGCACACCGGGGCCTTCGAGCCACAGTGTCAGAGAAATAGCGGTCCTGTGCTGCTGCTTTTGAAATCCACTCATCTATTTTTTACTTTACTGTATCTGCATTCATTCACCCACTTAGCCATTAATGAGTAGCTACTAGGTGCCAGGCACTGTGCAAGGTGTTGAGATATAGCAGGGAGCAAAATTCGGCTCCTGAACTCCCAACACAGACAATCTGATAAGTGAGAATGTTTTAGAACAAAAGCATTAAGGGCTTCCACTTCTGGGGGCATGGAGTAGACACATCTCTCTACTCCTCCTGCTCAGTACAACTAAAATCGCTGGGTATTACATCTGAAATGGATATAAGAAGACCCTGGAGGGGCTGGGGAGATAGTTCAGTGAAACAAGTGCTTGCCTGGCAAGCGCAAGGTCGTGAGTTCGATCCCTGGTAACACACACACACACACACACACACACACACACACACACACACACGACCCTGGAAGGTGGAGAGAAGACAGAAGGTTGGGCTGTGAAACACCACATTGCTGAGCTCTTCTCG